TTTTGTCCCTGAACACAGGCTCTCCAGATGTCCAAAGGGAGGCTTCCCCGAGGCTGGGAAAGATCAGGACAGAGGGCAAAGAAGCAGCAGATTCTTCGAGTGTTTGCCCTGGTGTGGCTTCCTAGCTTGGCTCCACTGGAGATGCACATGCCTCCCTCCTAGGAAATTGCCATGACAACCCAGAAGCCTACCTGAACACTTTTGGCACCTGCCTGATGGTGAAGGGCACCTGCTGGGCAAAGTCAGTACCCGAAGAACAAGGTCGTGTAAATGAGAGGTGTGCAGATTCCCCCAAGCTGGTCCTCAGCTGAGCCGTAGCACTTCATTAGCTAACCCAGGACTCGTCCCTGTTTTGAGGCATTCCTCACTCAGCCCAAGGATGGCATGCTGGGGACAGAAGCTTCTATTTTTACTCATAAGTAGGCCTGACTTAATAACTACAGTCCTTTCCTTCTGCCCCCACCCTAGCCACTCCAAGAGCAAAGGGTGAATTACAGAACTATCATGTACCAGCAACCGAGCCTACAGAGTCAGGCACCGTCTGTGACGCCCAATCAGGAGCAGGCAGAGCACTGCAGTGGGAGGGGCGGAGTTGGAGAAGAGGGCTGTCCCTACAGAAAAAGAGTTTCCCAGCCGAGGGCTTCCTGCTGTTTCAACAGGTGCTGGGCACCAGATAGGGAACACATTCCCAGTGGCTATCTTTCCTAAGTACCGAAACTCTTGCCTTGGAAGTCCTGTGAGCTCAGAACACTCAAGTGACAATCATCAGCAATGGTGACCTTAGAAAAAGTGCAGTCTCTTTCCATACTAGGCTGGACCTGAATCATTTCCTATTTACTTAACAGTTTTACTGAGATACTATTTACTTACTATGATAGTCACTCAAAATACACAGGTCAGTGATGTTTAAATATGTTCAGAGTTGTGTAACCATCATCCCATATAGAAAACCCACACCCATTAGCAGTTTTTCTGTTCCCTCTTCTAGTACTAAACAACTTAAGACTTGTTTCCATAGATTTGCCTAGTCTGGACATTAAATAAAATTTCATATGAATGGATTCATGCACTGGCTTCCTTCACTTGGCATGTTTATGTGCTTTCAAGGATCATCCGTGTTACAGCATGGATCAGTGTTTTTTATCCCTTTGACGACTGGATAATGTTTAAGGATGTGTCTTAACTCTTCACCACCTGATAGACATTTAGGCTATTGCCACTGCTTAGGCGTCAGTATGCTGCCATGAACACCTGTGCATAAGTATCTACCTGGCTGTTTAATTGTCCTCAGGAATATGCTATCTGGGTCACGTGGTCATCACATTGCATGAAACTGCTGACTATTTGCCAAAGTGGCTATACCACCTCATAATCCTGTCCACCATGTGTGAGGTGGATCCTGCTTTTATGGTGTTGATTGTGGCTAAGGACAGGGTGTTAACACTTCAGAGGCCTGTTCTTCCATTCAGGCTGCTCAGCTGAGCATCTCAGAGCTGAGTGCCTACTCTCCCTGACCACAATTGCCCAGGGGCTCTGGTGAACAAGGCAGATGGAGGCTTTTCTCCTGGTGGAGACAGGACTAGAAGCCTCTTTCTGGAAAAGCCGCTAGAGTTGCAGCCCACAGAGCTGACTCTTCTCTCTAGCAAGTCACAATCCTCTGGGTTTTGTTTTTTGTTTGTGTTCGGGTATGTGATGTGTGAGGGAGTGTGTGTACACGTCTCTTGGTGTACAGAGGCACATTCACATGTGCTTGCATGTGTGTGGAGGTCCAAAGCTAATGTTTGGTGCCTCCCTATGGATCTCTCTACCCATTTTCTAGAGTCAGGTTTCTTGCTGAACTTGCCGAATGAACCAATCCATGCTAGTCTAGCTAGCCAGCTTGCCCCAGGGATCTAGTCGCTGCCTCCTAAATGCTGGGTGGGAAACCAGACTTTTTTTTT